CTTTATACATTATATATGCATATCATTCATAGAAACAATGGGATTAATACCCCCCATATGGTTTCCACAGCTCTAAAGAAACAGGGGCAAATTCTGAGATGGGTCTTTGCCTTTCTATCTGGCCTCTGTCATTTTCTCTTTTGCACTTGCCAAAGATTTTTCTAAAATGCTAAGGAATAATAGCCTTTACTACTTACATCACCAAGGAGCATTTTTTTTTAGAATTTCCTTTTGCAAAACACTCACTAAGATAAAAAAAAAAAGATCAACTTTTCTTATCAATAGAAAAGTATTTGTGAACATAAAATATAATTGTATTGGCTCTTGGATACAATATTAGCCATATGTGTTACTGTAGAAGGCAAACAGTTTAACTGTACACTTTCCTACCTGGCCCATCCCAGTCTTCCGTCTCGAGCGTAAGTGGCCCAGATTTCTCCAGTCGTGCATCCCCATCAGAATCCGCTGCTTCTTGGCTGCCCTCTTCATCACCTATCAATTTCCCAAGTAATACATACAGTTAACATCATTTCAATCACAGAATTCAAAGGAAGTATCATAAGTGTGAGCGACACAGCATCAGCTCACCATATACTATACAAATGTAATGATTTTAACATTTTTTTGAAAAAAATCAATAGTCTGTTTTTAAATTGGTGATAAATATTGCAGCACTTTGTAAAAATTGTTTCAGAGGGTAGCCGTGCTGTTCTGCAGCAGAACAGTTAGATTCAAGCCCAATAGCACCTGAGAGACCAACAAGATTTTATGGGTATAAACTTTCAAGAGTCAGAACTCCCTTCATCAGATACCCTGACTCTCGAAAGCTTATACTCCCCCGATAACCTTGTTGATCTCTAAGGTGCTATTGAATTTGAATCTAACTTTGTAGAATCTGGAATCCTTCAAGATGGTTTACTCAATAGCCTGTAATGGAGCTGGTATTCTCAATCCAAATTTGCAGTAGTAGACCATAAAGAGAAAACGTAAATCAATATTCCAAAGCAGTGAACTGCTGTGTTACCTCAAGCCTCAGGTATGGAGTATTCAAGAAAGAAAGAAAAAAACAAGTTTTCACAGACAAAACAATGTCCTCTGTAAACCAGGATTTTTGCAAAGTTTATTATATTGCTAAATGTCAGTGTAAACTTTCAAATTAGGTACAGTGGGGAAGTATACCAATTTTAAAAAACAGCAAACTTAGAGGTAACTACTGTCTTATTATTCCATAGCTCCATTATGATGTAGGTTGTGTTCCAGTCATCTTCCAGCAAGAAAGAGAATGGACTTAAGTCAATAACGTATGCCATGCAAGAAAAATTCCTTGAGATTTATTAATGTAGCTTCAAATTAAATTATTTCTTTCCCCAAAGCATTATTTATTTTTGTTGCTCTTCCACAGAACAGTCCAACAGTCCAACAGTCCAACATAAAACCAAGTGGGCGGAGACTTTAAAATTAGCCTTTTGTGTGCTCAACATTTATTCTTCATTACCAAGCCTTTCAACTCTCCCAACTTTGAGTACAGTGAAGGCTTACTCCACATCCTATTTCCAGTGCCAGCTCTCTGTTCTTGAACATGAAAGATAACCAAAGAGTACAAGCATGGTCCAGGATACAATTTCCTCACCACAGGTGGTCATTTCCCCAGAAAGTACTTTCCTGGGGGCACCTTCTTTGGGGGGGCTGCAATGCGGACCCCATAAATCCAATCCTTACCAAACTTGGAGGGCAAATAGAGGAGAGTCAGTCTGAGATTCCCTGCAAGTTTTGTGTCTCTAGCATGCAGGGGGGCTGTTTAACTGCCTCATGAACCTCACAAACTGAACCAGTTCATGAGGCAGCTAAAAATTCATGATGGTCCATGGTTGGTGAACAAAGCTTGTCACAAATCACAAACCTAACCAAATTTTCCCAGTCTGTGCCCATCCTTAAACACTGACAGTACTTTTTTTCTATTATTTAAGTGACATGTCTTGTTAGGATCAGGATGTTGCTTTCCTATCCAAAGGACACAAAGTCGGAAGCTCAACTACAATTAAATATGTTTAGGACTGAAGTTCCAGCGTCAGACAGTCATCCTGTATGCCGCAGTATTAAATCCATGCAGTTCCTATCAACATCAACCTCTTATAAAAAATTCTTATGCAACTGTAACTATTGAGCTTTCCTGACTGAGCATTGCAGCAGCTGTTAGTCCCCCTATAATGCATTTTGCAATCAGCTAAATCTACAAAGTATCTTTTTTAACAATGAACAGTTCAGAACTGACAGGTCTAGTTTCTTGTTCACAACTGCTTATCACAGCATAGATATCATATATATTTTCCAGGTGCTTTCTATAGTTAGGATACCTTCACAGAAGCCGCTCGTGAAAGATAAGGTCATAAAAGAGATGAAAAATGTGTGAGCTTCATACACTCATGGTTTTATCATCAGACAAGATAGCTTTTGGTAAAGGACTTCCAGTTACAAACAGAAAGCTGCCTACAACACAGAAGGAAAAATACGGAAAGTTCGGAATTGAGTTCAAGTTTACTCAGAGCCTGAATTCAAGATGGTAACACAAAACAGGAATTCACAATGCAAACTCTTCTTCAAAGTGATATTAAATCAAATGTGGAGTGGCATGAAATATCTTGTTACAATGCATAAACACTGCAGAGAGTAAAAACAGGCTTTTAAAGAATATAAGAATCCAATACTTGTTGACTCACCCAAAGGTTCACTTAATTCAGCCTCTTTTTTTCTAATTTTATAAGAACATAAGAACATAAGAACATAAGAGACGGGTATGTAAGCAACATCCCTTTCTCACTGCTGTCCAACACTCTGTGTCACACAGTGGCCAGAAATACCTCCCTTACAGAAACCGTGCTGAGTCTGCCTCAATAGGTTTTGTTCATCTATGTGCCTACTAATTCTTTCCTTAATAATGGTTTCCACCAATTTACCCGGTATCGACGTCAGACTGACTGGCCTGTAATTTCCCGGATCTCCTCTGGAACCCTTTTTAAAGATGGGAGTGACATTAGCTACCTTCCAATCCTCAGGAATGGAGGCAGATTTTAAGGAAAGATTACATATCTTTGTCAGGAGATCTACAAGTTCACATTTGAGTTCTTTCAGAACTCTCGGATGTATGCCATCTGGGCCTGGTGATTTTTCAGTTTTTAAGTTGTCTATCAGTTTTAGGACCTCCTCTCTCATCACCTCAATCTGACTCAGGTCTTCCAACACCCCTCCTGAAATCAGTGGTTCTGGAGTGGGCAAGCACTTCTTATCAGTCATATGTCTCTAGGAAGGTGACAAACTGGGTATGTAAGCAACATCCCTTTCTCACTGCTTGGACCCAGGACAGGGAGTTTCAAGGTAAGCCCCTCAGAACCATGGCACCAAACAGTGTGTGTGTGTGTGTGTGTGTGTATTAAGTATAATTTGAACATATTGTAGGAATATGGAGGGTATATGGAGTACAAAGGCAAGTACCTGCCAACATCCATAAGGTGCAAGCAAATAAGCACCAACAAACATGGACTCCCTGATGACTCAAATTGTAGCCAAAATTAAAATGAAAAATGATATTTGTAAGTTAAAACTCTAGAATGAGCCCATATTCACAGTGTAAAGGGCCTAGGGGACCTCCAATGAAGATGAATTCACACTGTATATTCTGTGAAATTCATTCTGTTAGAGATAGCCTATGGCCCAGTTCAGAAACAAAATGAAAGCACATTTTAAAAATGGGTAGTTTGTGAATTTAAGACTTGGGTCACAGACAATCATTGGTTTGTCTCAACTAAATGTTAGTTTCATCACCTTCATTTGTTTCCCCATCTTCTCCGTACAGTCCCAAGTAGTATGCCAGCCTTCACTGTGGTGAGGACAGTACTGCGTAATAAGCCAGGATTAAGCATTTGTGTGCCATGAAAAACAGTAGTGGTTGATAAATCAACCTGTGACTAATTAACAACTTCAAACCATGGTTGCATATTTAAGGTACCCAAATCAGTCAATACTAGGGGCCTGCATTTCAAAATCATGTTATCCGTAGTTCATATAATTAACATTTCTTCTTGCTTTCCATATCTTTAATCCTTCTCTATAAGGTAAGGCAGGCATTCCCTATCTTCCTGAGCCTATGGATGCTTCTAGAATTTTGAGAACAGGGACAGGAACTATCAAACCTTGGCTGCCACGGGCCAGAACCAATCACAAAACAGCTGCCATGTGATGCCAGGACCAGAAACAAAATTTTGGGAGGTTGCAAGCCACACATTCTGTACCAATCCGGGCAGCTATTTTGGAAAGGATGTTGCCCTGCAAGGCACTTAATGTGCTCTTATGGACTGTATAAGTAATAAGTGGGCTGGGATGTCACCAGTATGCTGATGACACCCAGCTCTATCTGATGTTAGGCGTCCAGTCGGACTCCAGACCAGATGAACTGGATGGCGCTTTGGAGGCCGTGGCTGGGTGGCTCAGACTGAGTTGGCTGAAGCTGAATCCAGCAAAGATGGTGGTCCTGTGCCTGGGTCAGGGCAGTTCGGGGGTGGGGATTCCACTCCCGACCTTTGGGGGGGACCTCACTGGTCCCAGTGCCGGAGGTTCGGAGTTTGGGAGTGCTCCTGGATTCCTCCCTTACCACGGAGGCCCAGGTAGCCGCCACTGCCAAGTCGGCCTTCTATCATCTGAGGCTGTTTAGGCAGTTGATTCCCTTCCTTGACCATGCAGACCTGGCTACAGTGATCCATGCGATGGTCACCTCGAGATTAGACTACTGTAATGCTCTCTACATGGGGCTGCTTTTGTCGTTGATTTGGAAGCTGCGGCTAGTGCAGAATGCCGTGTCCAGGCTGTTGATGGGTCTCCCTAGATGGGAGCACATCCAGCCTGCGCTGAGGACATTGCACTGGCTGCCAATAGTATTCCAAATCCGCTTTAAAGTGCTGGTTCTTACCTTTAAAGCCCTATATGGCTGGGGTCTAACATACCTACGGGACCACCTTTCCCCATATATACCCCAGAGAGCACTACGGTCTGGGTCTCAAAATCGGTTGACCCTTCCTGGCCCGAGGGAGGCCAGGCTAGCTGCTACTAGGGCCAGGGCCTTCTCGGTGGCAGCCCCTACCTGGTGGAATGAGCTCCCGGAGGAGATCAGGCCCTCCAGGACCTCTCACAGTTCCACAGGGCCTGCAAGATAGAGCTCTTTCACCAGGCATATAACTAGGGGCCGCCGCCTTCGTGCACGCCCCGTAATGTTGACATCAGCAGCTGCCTCAAGAACGAGCAAATAACATCCAAACACTTATGTGGAATAACATCAAAGCACTTTCATTTGAAAACATCTCATTTGTTTATTTTTAACTGCCGCCAGTACTTTGTAACATTTGTAATGCACTAATTTAATTGCTGTGTTTTAATTCTGTACTATTTATGCTTTTATTTTGTATTGTTGTATTGTTGTTGGAAACTGCCCTGAGCCTGCTTTG